TGCTCTTTTCTGCTGTTCTCTGCATAACATAAGGTTCTATGTTCCTGGTTCTTTGCTCTTCTTTCTTTGTATCTTCAATACTGTTTTTTTTCTATTCTCTGGTTCCATGTTCTTCTCATGTCCTTTGCGTTTGGTTCCGTGCTGTTCTGTGCTCCTCGTCTATGCTTTGGTTCTATTCTCTGTTTTTCTGTTTTCTCTGCTGTCTTCCACCCATCTCTGCTCTTACTGTATTTCCTTCCTCCTCTTTAAATCTCTCCATCCTCTCCGTGCTCTACCAGGTTCTGTTTGGTTCTACTGTTGTCTTCTTGTGGTGCTTCTCTGTTCTTATACTTGGTTCTTACTGTATACGCTCCTCTCTCTCGTCAGTTCTCTTTTTGCATCTTCTCCTTTTTTTCACTCATTTTTATTCTTTGCATCTGTATGTTTTTGGATTCTCTGCTATGGTTCTGTGTCTTTGGTCTTTCCATGTTCTTTACTTTTGTGCCCATTCCTTGTCTTTTCAATGCTACTGTTGTCTTTCCATGTTCTTTACTTTTGTTCCCATTCCTTGTCTTTTCAATGCTACTGTGAGTCTTCTATGTGTTCTCTTTTATGCTCATATTCACTTTCACATGTCTGGTTCTGTGGGCTGGTTCAACCCCTTTGATTATTAATTTGTTTTTAATTTTCTATGCAAATTCTTCCTTTGCTTCTGGGCTCTAAGCTCATCTTCTCTTCTCCTTCATCTTTTCTCTTCAGTCTTTTTCTTCAACCGCACCACCACAGAAACCACTTTATAACAACTCTTAACCTCTTGCCTGCTTAAAGTGAAATCTAATTACACACTTGTCACCTTTGATCAACTCTCCATCTTTAAAATAACCACTTGAACTAATGTAATTTCATTAAGCAGAAATAATTTTACACGAGCAAGGGAAACTAACCGCACTTTCCCCCTCACACATCTGCAGCATTTAACCTTTGAACCCATTTTCTATACTTTGTGAAATCCCTGTTTTCCACCAGTGCATGATTTGTAATCAAGGTTAACTTGCTCAGCCTCAGTGTCTGCAATCAATCACCACGTAGTCCAATCTACCGCTGCCCACACTCTGCATCAATAATGCCACATTCAGAAAAAGCAGCAGAAGTGCTGGGTCGACAGCGTGAAGGGCTGTTTTCATTCTTCATCTTTATTTATTCAAAATTATTTTTGACCATTATTTCACAACGCTCAGATGAAATCCTACACCAGGGAAGTTTCTTGTCTCTGGGTTGATGCTGTAACATGGTCTCCTCTGTTTCTACTACTGCAGCTTAAGGCTCAAAGTTTAAATCCTCCCTGTTCTCCGATAAATAATTCACAATTGTTTCTCACTCTGAGCTGCGTTACTGTTATTGACCTTATACACAGGAGGCGGGCGTGAGCAGCAGCAGCAGAGCCGTACACGCTCAGATATTTCCAAAGCAGTTTGGGCGCTGCGGCCCGTATCTGGTGATTATGAAAATGCCCTGCAGCCAGATCAGTGCTGTCAGCTCCTTGTCTCGCCGTTGCAGCTGCAAGTTGACCTGTAACTATTACACTGGTGCAGGGTTTTTAAAGGGGAGTGGGGCGTGCAGTTCAGGCTGCCATGCGGCTGAATCACTTTTGTCAGACGTGACACACGAGGGCCAGCAAAGGAAATAAAAGCACCACCACCTCCACTTGTTAGAAATAGAAGTTCGATTTTTGCACCAAATTGGACACTCTGTTCATGGCTGGGTTAGAACTTACGCTGATAATGCTGATACGGTAGCAAGAGCACAAAACACCGAGGTAATTTGAGTTTAAATGAAGAAATAAAACTGATTTAAAGATTAGAAAATAAACTCAATTATAATAGTAGCTGCATAGCTCCATATTCTAGAAACTTTCCAGAAACTAGTTTAGTTTAGGTAGTTTCCAGAAACTACCGAAATCAAACAAAGACAAAGCCTGTTCAAATGGTCAAACCATTAATGCTTACTGAAAATGTAGCCTCAAACATTGTGTATTCTGGTCTCTATTATGTGTGTGTCTACGTTTTGTTTGTCTGGGGATTGGCAGGTGCAGATAATGGGTTAAATCAGAGCCCTCAGATAATCAAAGCACTGCCTAATTTGCTGTAATGGGTGCTAATGCTAATGTTGAAGCTGTAATTTTACTTCCACGAAAAAAAAATCAGTAGGTGTCTCGATCAGCTGAACTATATATAAAAAAATGTACCGAGCATAAAATTTCTATGAAAAACACAAAAGAACTTTTTTTTTTTTACTGTTGCTGAGTGTTAAGATTTTCACTCCTGTGTTCACTCTGCAGCTCTTCTCTGCTAAAGCTTATACTAAAACAGGTTGTTGTTGTTGTGTTGGTGCAGCAGCAGAGTGAGCCGTGTAATAAAACAGCCATAAAATCTCCTGCACTACACTGATTCCACAACAACGTGCATGCATCAGTTTAGCAACTGTGCAACATGAATGGGCTTACGAAAGTAAACAAAGCAGCTACAGAGTGCACAGAATTGAAAGTCAGTGCGTGCGCTTTACCTACTATGGCATCGAGTGCTGTATTAATCCAAATATCAAAATATTGTTCTAAGACTGTGTGTAGTTTTGAAAACTACTTCAAAAGTTGCCAGGCAGCAGGTAATGAGAGGCTTGGGACTTAAATTTCTGCTCTGCATTTTCACAAAGATCGAAGAAGGAGCTCTTGTTTTATCTCAGGGACATCTCTGGAATTCTCCAAAGAGCTTGACAACCCTGTTGTAAAGAGTAAATCCTTCTATAGGATTTTGTTTTGTCACAGCGACGAAAACTCTTCCTGAGTCGTCAATGTATGCTTTGACAGTACCAGGTGTATCAAATTACTAGGTTCTTTGACCAACCGTGGACTTGTATTTCAATTGTCTGGAGGTCACTCTTTTATACTAAACTTCATCACATGCGTGGACCGTGAAGGTTCATTCTCAGATCTTGGTTTTTATTGACGTTGTCAAAGATTTTCTCCCACCATTCCCAGTGTCTCTCCTGAGAGTGATGGGAAGGTTTCATTGGGGAGGGGTTCATATGCATATACATGAGGCAGTTTGAACTCATGGGTTAGGGTGTGTCTGTATTTATATTTGCAACTGCAGTTGAAGAAACTTGCCTTACCTGATGCAGTTTAAGTGCTTTGTACTAACTCTAGTAGTTACTTTATTTTTTAAAGAGAAGTTGTCCACTATGTTGGGCACTCAGTGGCCACAGAACTGAACAAGACACTTCTTTTTTTTTATGGCCAACCAAACAAGAATGAGCCAATCAGATAACTGACATCTGAGAAGCTTGTCAACGGATGTTCCTCATAGTCATTGTCATGGCCGTTGTTCTTCATGTCTGTGGAGCTGCTCACTGTCGTTTCATCTGTGATTGTTTACATTTAACCCACTTTAAGAAGTTTCTGCCGATCTGACCTTGGACGTCCAGGTCATACGTGGAGCAGATGTCGCTGACGATGTTGAATCCTGCTGTTATACAGTATGTTGGCTGGTTTCACAGCCAAGGTCCTATGCTGCCTGTACTGATCCTAGGTTTCTACTGTTCCATTAGTTAGTGTGATTTACTCCTGAAAGACATTCATTCTTAAGCATGTTTGTGTCTTTGTCTTTTAGAGCTGGTGTGTGAGGTAATGAATGTCACCACTCATCACACAGCCTGGCTCAGCCATTTTAAATCTCAGTGAAAAGTCCTTCACTGCCACAGCCCTCCTCAGAGTTTTATGACCCAGTCCTAGGGTTGGGCATAAAACAGACCCCCCCATTTTCAGGTGGTAAAATGACTAATTAAAACCAATAGATCATTGGGACTCAGTGGGAGTGCTAAGTACATCAACGTCAAACATTGAAACAAATACTCCACTGCAGCTAAAATCATAGAATTACTGTAACAATGTCTTTTTGTACAGTTGTTGTTTCATTTCAGTGGTAATCGCTGACAGTGTTTTATTTATGGAGAATGATAAAGATTATTATTATTATGGACACAGCTCCCATCATACAACTACATCATACATCATGATTTTTTTCAGATTGTCACCCACTTCTGCACACAAGGAAAATTGAAAATGATAACACTCTGTGTGTGTGTGTGTGTGTGTGTGTGTGTGTGTGCACCAAGGCTCTAAGGCAGCTGCTGATCTTCACTGTCTTCCTTGTAGATTAGGCCTTCAGCTCAGGAAAAAACAGCAGCTTTTATTGACTTTGTTGAATGGTCATTCTCTCCACACACACAGGAAGACCTCAGGTGGTGAGTTTCAGTCGAAAAAGACTTCAGTCCTCTTTTTCAATCCTTTCGACCACGTCTGGAAAGACACTACTAAATTGGAGCACTGATAGGTGTGTTGGACCACAACCCAACACTTTAGTTATTTGAAATGGCGTGTAAACACGGACGCCTGTCCAATTACATGAAAACTCCCTGTGTTTTTCAAACCTCAGGTTACCAACTGCCGACCTGTTTGTGGAAGTTTCTGTACTTACTACCATTGTGGTCTTCACTGAGGAAACGCTAGATTAAATAACAGACAATTGAAAAATGCACATTTCCTTACAGAAACACTGCACGTCACCATTATCTCCTATTAACAGAAGTAAAAAAGTCTGGTCCGGTTGACCTCACTGTCAATATATTAAACAAGGAAAGAATATAAAAAAATAACTGAAAAGAGTTATTGTCACTGAAATATATAACTCTTAAATAACAACAACAAAAA